TTCTTGTTGATGTTAACAAAATCGTTAATTGGATTGTTTGGTTGTTGCATTATAGTTTAATTTTGGAGACGTGGTGGAGTGATGAAAGTCTGAAGCAGATGGGGAGGAAGATAACCAATCTTGTAGATATAAATTCCTAAAAGCTGGTTTGATATGTTGGTTACAGCAAATTGCAGTGCTCAAACACAAACTGTGTGCAAGTCAATTGCTTCAAGTTCATTTATTATTTGTTAAATCTAAATTGTGGACTCAGAGACAAAAAGGGGTCACCAAACACATCCTAATCCATTTTCGCCTTCGGCACGCATTCGTTTCTATACGAAACCAAAAGCCCACTCTGTTATTAGACCCACCCAGTTCATACGTGGATGGCCCTTGTTGGACAATAATTTTCTCCAATATTTTATAAACTTTTATACTGTTTTTATTCGATTCAAAATTATAATTTAAATAATTTCTAATTAAAAATCCCACCAAGTTTTAATTGAATGACATAAGCTATTTTGCTCATATTTTCAAAGCAATGGACATTCCTAATGTAGGCTTGGATCGTCTTCCAAGTATGAGAGAAGAACACTTCTGCAAAGAGCTTTTATTGTTTCCAAAGGGTTAGGTCTTTATTTTTGTTGATTTATTTCAATTGAGTATTAATATTTTTTTTTCAACGAGATTCTACTTTTTTTTATTTTTTTTATAAGTAGTTTAAATAGTTAATGACATGCGAATATAGAATGTTTCGTGTCAGTTCATAATTTTTTTTATATGAGTTTGTCGATATACTCATTAGATAAATTTAACAATATACTTTAGATGAATATGTCCATATAATTACTAAACAAATATAGCAAAAAATATTAGATGAATTATTCTAAATATTGATTAGACGGGTCTAGCAATACTTATTAGACAAGTCTGTCTATACATTAATTAAACAAGTTTATCAACAAACACTAATTGAGTGTTTTATACATTGATAAGATAAGTTTTTTTTTTCATACGCAAATTATATGAGTCTATTAATACACATTAGACGAGTTTATTCATTCACTGGTTAAACAAGTCTTGCAATACAATTAAATAAGTATACAATTACATTGAATAGACGACTATGTCCATATACTAATTAAACGATTACAACAAACACTAGACGAATATGTCTATATACTGATTAAATAAGTTTAGCCATATACATTAGATAAGTTTGTTTATATACAAATTAAACGAGTTTATTTATAAACATTAGATGAGTTTGTCCAATAACTAATTAAACAAGTCTACAAGACACATTACACGAGTCTGAATATATACTTATTAGACAAGTATGACAATACACATTAGACGAGTTTTTCCATACACTGATTAGAAGAATATAAAAAACTACATGAGATTGTCCATACAATAATTAGATATAATAATTAGATGAGTATAACAAAAAAATATTAGACAAGTCATTTCATACATTGATTAAACGACTATAGTAATATACATTACACGAGTCATTCATATATTTATTAGACAACTATATATACATTAGACAAGTCTTTTAACACATAAATTAGATAGGTGTATTAATAAACATTAGACAAGTTTGTTTATTTATTGTTTAGATGAATATTGCAATACACATTAGACGAGTCTATTTATATATAGATTAAATGAGTATAACAAAAAATATTACACAGATCTAACAATATATATTAGGGGAGTTTGTCCATATATTAATTAGATTAGTAGCAAAAGTTTTATATGAGACATTCCATACAGAGTATACCAAAAATATTATATGAGTCATTTTATACATTGATTAGATGAGTCTAATAGTACATATTAGATGAGTATGTCATCTATACACTAATTGACAATTCACATTACATCAGTTTATTCACACACTAATTTATATTTTTAAATAATCAACTCTATATATTTCTGCATATCTTTTATATTTTTAGAAAGTTTGCTCTTGTATATGTTTTATCTTTTATATTTTTACAAAATCTACTATTTATATTTTTGTAAACATATATTTCTAAGTCTATAAATTATTTTTAAGGTTAATTCTATTCAAAACTTAATCATAAACCTAAATGTAATTTTTTTATCTCTAATTTATTTTTAATAAACACACAATCAAACATTAATCAGTGGTTAGACATGGATTTAAAACAATTATTTTGAAAAGATGAACTCCAATTGTTCTTTCTTGGATTCTTGAAACATGGGTGATTGGATTGACATTATTAAGTTGGCAAAATAGGACTCGTAGACTTCTAAAGGAGAAAAATGATTGACAGACAAAATATGAATGATTTTTCATGTTCTTCAAACAATTTGAAAACCGGTTCTTCCAAAAATGATTTACTTGTATTAAACATTAAACTCAATTGAGATACATGCAACAACAATGCAAGGAGACATGGGTACCACAAACAAGAGAATAAGATGGGTATGAAAGATAACCATTCTGCTGAATAAATGAACTCCAATCAGTGCTAATTCAATTCTTAAAACAAGGGTGAGACTTTGATTGATTTGGAAATTTTTTAGAGTTGTGATTCATTGGTTCAGAAAAGGAAGGTTGATTCATGGACAAAATACGAAGGATTTGAAAAATGAAATTCAACTAATTGAATTTTGAAAAGCATTTAATTGCATTGATCAATTTGAAAAAGAAGTGGGAACTGGGATTCATTTTGTGGTTTAATTGGATTGAATATAGTGTTGTTATTCAACTCAAAATTATAATTGGAATAATTTTTAGTTATAAATCCCACCAAGTTTTGATTGAATGGCATAAGTTATTTTGCTCATATTTTCAAAGCAATGGACGTTCCTGTGAATGTTATAATCTAACACACTCGTCTTCCAAAGATAAGAGAAGAACACTTTTGGAAAGAGCTTTGATTGTTTCTTAAATTTTTAATTTCTTCTGTCAATATTTTGTCGTGGTACCAATATTAATAACTAAATATTTCACCCTATCATTTCATACATACTAACGGATATTTTGTTAAATTTCAATCGATATTATAGAAAGGAAATTTTTAGTTTGTTTTAAAAGTAATATTCTTAATTTACTACGTCTTTCAGAATTTTTTAGTTAATTTAAGAAAATCATATTAAAAGGTGACAACTTTTTTTACAAGCTAAAAAATATTTAGTGCGCCAAATTATCGCGTTTTATAAAAAAATTCGTTACTCGCTTAAAAAAATAATATTTGCAAGTTTTATGACAAACCAAACTGAATTCAATAATTTTTACAGATAATATTAGACAACGCCTCTTTAAAAAATATATGAATTTGGTGTTACAGTCCAATTAAAGCTAACCTTGTGGTAAAATTGGTCTGGGAGATATGTCTAAGCTGTAATCGAGGACACAATGTAATAAACATTACTTTTTTTACTTCATGTGTATGTCTTGAATAATATATCAATATATGTTTGAGACATGATATAAGTTGCATATATGGTAAATAATTGAAATTCAAAAATGGTTTATTTTAAATCTTAAACTGTGTCTTTGTATTACTCTAGAAGAAGATCAAGCTCTAAATTTTGGTTTTCATTTACAAATTTGATGAGGGAAAATCGGAATTTAAGTGTTTCAAAGGAGTTACATGTATTTGAGGCCCTAAACTATATTATAATAATCACAAAATGAAATATATTGACGTAAGATGACATACTACTCACAACATATTAATAAGTGAACAAATTATAAGCCTTGGCTGCTTGGTTAATGTTTTCTGCTACAGCTAAAATTTGAAACGAGTAAAACGATTAAACTGAAGTGCAGAGGGGTATGGAATGGAAGGAAGTGGAAAAGTCTTCTTATAGAAGAAGACTACAAAGACACGGTTTAAAATTAAAAAAATAATATTAAAAGAGTTATTTTAATTTGAAATATTACTTATACTATTAAAAAAAATATTCATTAAGTAAGATGACCAAATGGTAAGACCAATTTCTATTTCAACATATATGGTAGTATATTATTGAGAAGATGTATAAAAGTTTGAAACAGTTTTTTATTACCCTTCCCAGAAACGCATGTTGGATGAAGTGAGATAGAAGAGGGGATCCTAACAACAGAAATGGGTTATAAGATCTGATCTTAGATCAAATTGATGCTAAATGACACACTCCACCATTTATATATTTTTCATCACAACTTATGGCGCGTCACTACTAAGTGTATTATTCATCCAACTACATATGTAATTGAGATATATTTCTTTTATGCCTACGAAAACTTTGCAATCAACTACGTTTGAAATTTTGTTACTCTTTAACTTCATTAAAATTGTTCTCTACTTTTTAAACTGCGGTTACTTATATTTTTAAAATATACATTTTTAAATTTAATCTCAAGAATAGATTGATGATATAGAGATTGTAAACTCTCAGTTTCTAGTTTAGTAAGATTTTGAAGAATAAATTTACGAATACACGTTGAATTGAAATTTTGTTTACTTGAAAAGTAACCACTTTTCGAATATAATTTAAAGATTTTGAGAAGTAATCAAGTATGGTAAAATAATGTATAAACGTTGAAGGTTACTTGTAGAAAGGGTAAGCGTGGTGCACGAGGTTGCGCTGGAACCAACTACCAAAGCGTGGGGCAGTTTAAATATTATTTGTTGTCTGTTCGAATCTCCCCAGATGCCAAGCAGAAGGGCCAGTTCCATTTTGTCTTCAAACCCCTATGGGAATAAGAAGTGCCAACTGGCAACTGGATTATTGCTGCATCCTCATGATAGTACATATCAGAAAGTACCTTCCACACAGACACAGCAAAATCCTTATCATCAAAGTTTAAGGCAAAGACGCCAGTACTACTTAGTCCTTTCATCCCGATTTTTCAGGCACAGAAAAATGTTTCCAAGTTGCATCAAGAACAAAGTGGATGAAAATTATACATCCAATTTTAGGTTTGGTATAAAATTCCACCCACTAAAACAAATAAGTAGAAGATGACAGATTTTTCAGTAATATAAATGTGAAGAAATCAAAGGTTTTTTCCTTTTTTGTGAGAATCTTAAAAATGTTCAAAGAACTGGGCAAAAAGGAAAATAAAAGATTAAAAAAAAGATATAGTGCACCCAATGCAAGCCCGGCCATCCCTCATTATAAAATGGGATGGAGACTACAGAAAGGCCTAAAATGCACTAATTTAAGATTAATTGGCCATGAAGCCACCTCTTCAGTCTCTAGTATATCATCGTCCATGGCGCTGAAGGTTTTAGCAACTTTTCTACCGACTACAGAAAAACGTCTACTCTGATTTTTGCTTTGATTTTCTTGATGGTCGACGCCCACTTGTACATCTCCCCACAAATTTCAGAATCTCGTCAATCAGAATGACAGGAAGTGCAACAGCCAAAACCAAAAACCACTCGTTCAAGCTCAGGGGCACGATACCAAATACTTGTGCCAAGAATGGCACGTACAAGATCAAAAAGTGTAGACCAAATGATACTGACATTGCTAAAAGAAGCCAAGGGTTGACCCAAGGGGGCATTGTCAAAAGGCTTCCATCTTCAGATAGGGCATTGAGAGAGTTGAACATTTCAATGGCTACCAACACAGAAAGGGACAATGTCATAGCCTTCACTTTACCAGTGTGAAAGTAATCACAGGGGTTGTCAAACGTGATTGTTTTAGCACCGGCAGTGAATGGAGAAGCAGTGAAGTTCTTCCATGAGGAGCATTGATCCCAGTTGGCAAGTTGAGTATAAGTGACAAGAGTATGTCCATCCCCAGCGAGGTCAATACCCAAGAAAGAACCGTGTGTATACCATATGATGAAGACACCAACTGTAGCTAATCCAACATAAATCCCAATTACCTGTGTTATGTATAAAATCAGGTAGAAGATTATAGGTAAGTAATACACATAAATCATCATAATAAAGCCTAACAAAAGATACATGTGTGCAACAGAAAGAAAAGAGAAGGCAAATACCATATAGCGGAATAAAATCCACAAATTAATTAATGAGTCATCACTACGACGAGGAGGCTTCTTCATTATATCCTTATCTGGAGGATTAAATCCTAGAGCTGTTGCAGGGGGTCCATCAGTGACAAGATTGACCCACAAAAGCTGGACAGGTATTAATCCTTCAGGAATACCTAGAGCAGCTGTTAAAAATATTGAAGCAACCTCGCCAATATTGGAAGAGATCATATACCTGCAAAATTAATGTGTTACCACTTCAAGATAATATTAACTCATATTTTATCATTAGAGAAGGATCTTAAAATAGTAGCACGCATATAGGTAACTAACAAAAGTACATATCTAGAATACTAGATAAGGGCCATGCCATGAAATGCCGCACAGGATTTTGAATGCTTTACAGTTAGAAAAAAATTATGAAAAGTTCATTTTAGCGTTCTTAGAGTTCTAATAAAGATTTCTCGTAGACAGCAAATTCTGAAATAGGCACCTTAGGATTGGTAAAAAGAAATCTAGCAAAACAGGATTTGATCCAAACCCATCTAGCATCTCAGTTATTATAAATAAAAACGACACAGCTTAAACATCCAGATTAAACCAAACTAATGCCTCCCATGTTTCCAACAATTTGGGGGATGGATATGAAATGTGAAATACAATTTTCAATCTTCGTTATTTTTTCATTTTGTTTACTTGATATTCATAGGAAAAAGCTCATGCATCACAACTGTACACTTATGGTAGCAACATATGAACATGGTCCATGTTTATCTCAGTTCCTTTATTAGAAATCTAACTGTAAGAGTGTAAACAACAACTAAATGCACTGAAGGCATTTCTCCCTTTTCTTTTGAGTCATAAACTAAGCAAATATTGAACGATGAATTGATGCAGTAAATTATCAATATCCGCAGTAGTGGCTTAGATGAAATTGTGGACACGTCAATCGATCATTAAATTACATTTTATATATGCCAATTGTGAGTCAACACAGCGCTCACCAACAGAGAAAAAAGCCTATGGCAAGGTAAACACATCCCTTCATGCATGTATAAATTATTTAAAGATCATCAGAATCACCTTATGAAAGCCTTCATGTTATTGTAGATAGATCTACCCTCACCAACAGCAGCAACAATTGAACTAAAATTATCATCCGCCAACACCATATCTGAAGCTTCCTTTGCCACCTATATAGGATTAGCATAAGATAGAAGAGATGAGTTGCCAAAAATAAGCAATATTAACTGGCGTTCCTTAGTCCAACTAATTACAATTATCTTTGAGAAAAGACCCAGCACTTCAATTTTCATCAAAACTTTACATCAAACTAAAAACACAAGCATTCCCAAGACTACCTTAGAAAGCCCAAATCAATCACCAATGTTCACTTGTTAGTAATGCACCAGAATCCGTAATATGATTACAATGAAAAAAAAATACCTCTGTCCCTGCAATGCCCATTGCAACCCCGATGTCTGCAAGCTTCAAGGCAGGTGCATCATTAACACCATCCCCTGTCATGGCCACCACCTCTCCTTCTTCTTTGAGCAGCCTCACAATTTCTTGCTTGTGCCTAGGTTCAGCCCTTGAAAACAAAAGGCCCCCACTCTGGTTCAAATATGCCTTTTTATCACGCAATTCCATAAAATCTCTACCCGTCAAACTTTTAGAAGTAATGTCTTCATCAGGGGTAAATACACCTATTTCACGGCATATAGCTTCAGCAGTGTTCTTGTTGTCCCCAGTTATAACCATAACACGGATTCCAGCCTCTCTGCAGTCTTCAATTGCTTGGTATACTTCCTCCCTAGGGGGGTCCTAAGCATTCAATATTCAATTTCACAAAGTTACCACATTAACAAGATATGATGCAGATGATAAAACATGGCATATAAAACAAGCCTAAAACTTACCCTCAATCCAACCAAGCCAACAAAAATAAGTTCACTTTCAATTGATGAATAATTGGAAGGATTAAGCAAAAGCTGGTGTGCTGGATGATCGTCACTACCACTGTAGTTTTCAAATTTGGGGAGCTCATCCTTGTAAGCAAATCCCAAACAGCGCAATGCGCTAGTTGACATTTCATGAAGTGCTTGCAATACAAGGTTCCTAGCATTATCATCCAGGTTCACAATAGAACCATCTCGCAACTGAATTTTCGTGCTTCTGTCTAACACGTTTTCCACAGCACCCTACCAAATATTAGGGACAAATGCTGGTTAAAAGGATTTCCCAGTGGTGAGAAAAGGGAAGCAAGAAACTTTAAGAACATAAGCATGCATAGGCTCATGTATGGATTCAGCAAAAGAAACTATTCAAACTCCTACAGATATGATGAGAAACAAAATGACAAGGTGAATGAGAAGAATGATCAGGCCATAGTGTGACACAACCATGTTATCGAATTTGTTTTGGAAAACTTTATTCATTCAACAACACTCTGTTGTACTTGTAAATAACCGGTACTAAACATTGTACGAGACTAGTTTTGCCCCAACATGTTCCTGTTCTTTTAGTCTAGCCTTACAAAACATGTCTAAATTTTGGGGAGTTGGGATATTACCTATTTAGTTAAACAATTTTTTAAAAATTTTATTAGTAAATAAATGGTGATAAAATAATAAATTTACTTTGAGGGAAGAATAAAAATACCTTACTCAAATAAAGATCTGAGAAGATTTCGTTTTCAAGAGATATGCTGCCTTGAATTTATTTTACAAAAATGAGAAAACCACATGACAAAAAGAATGGTATACACTTCCAAGTTAACCAGTATTTCCACATAGATATTAATTATGTAATTACAGAACAAGGTCATATCATAGAAAACTGATAATCTAAATGAACTGTCTAAGTGAGAGAAAAGGTGACAAAAAGAGATAATACCTTAACTAGAAGCGACCTTTTTCCTAGACCAGAGTCCACAATGACGCCCATTGACTTCCGGTCACGGTCAAACTCAAGAGTAGCAAGCCGTCGGTCATGCTCATTCCACCATTCACAACAACCTACATTGAAATTTGAAGGTCAAGAAACTTAATATATTTATTGAATATGTTTTTTATACTAATTCATATTAATAAGCAACAACGCTTGTTGATCTGATATATGTGGTCTTTCTGATAAGTTCTGAATACATAAACTCAAACAAATTTATTAAAAAAAAAAACTTAAGATTACATAACAGCAAGTAACCTGTTTGCTAAAAAAATGCTTTACAAAATAATTTGCCTTGGTATATTTCACCACATTATTCTGTCGATAAACAAAATTAACTTACGCAGCAAGGTACTTGTGCTTGCCGACCGCATATCCTTGGATCCTTCAGGATGGCCCATCTTCTCTACCAAAACCTGGAGTTCCAATACAGAGTACAAAAAACTGTCAAACACCTTTACCTCCTAAAGCCGGTCAATACGTTCACACGGATGGATTAGTAAGAAAAAAACAAGAGATAATTAAAAAGAACAACAAAAGCATTAGACAACTTGATAATCCTCACTCTAGCGCTCAAAGTAATTATTTAAATAGATACTTCCTACAGAAGCATAGAAAAATTGCAAACAGTAAATGAAAAATATTCCAAGATAAATAAAAAAAGGGGTCCTACCTTTAAAGCTGCTTCAGTAGGCATTCCATGGGCGACGAACTTATGTTCTGATTGTGCGACTCCGGCATCATTACAGATAGCAGCTATTTTCGCAATCATCTGAAGATTAGCATCCAATCCTTCAGTCGGCCAGTTCTCAATTTGACCATCAGCTGGATTGTACGTGGTTCCTTCAACCTTGAAGGCTCGAAGTGTGTCCACATTATGGCCAATTGCGATTAATTTCGACACGGCCATTTGATTGGTAGTCAGTGTGCCAGTTTTATCTGAACAAATCACAGTGGTACAACCCAGAGTCTCCACGCTAGGTAGCTTCCGAACCAGGGCGTTCTTCTGGGCCATCTTGCGAGTACCAAGAGCCAGGCAAGTAGTGATGACAGCCGGTAAACCTTCTGGAATAGCAGCCACAGCCAGCGTCGCAGCAATCTCAAAGTAATAGGTACACTTTTCAAATGAAAACTTGAAATTCCTCGACCAGCCATCCACGTACTCCCATGTAAGGAAGTACTTAACATTGATGAGCCAAACCAAAATACATATAAGTCCAATTATCTTGGTTAGGTTCTCTCCAAACTCGTTGAGCTTCTTCTTCAATGGGGTATCTTCCTCACTCTGCGACGCCACATGTATCTGCGTATGCACCTTCCCAATTTCTGTGTCCATGCCCGTCTGAGTGACCAAGCAAAAGCAATGACCATTAACAATAGTAGTCCCAACGAAAACCACACATCTCTTCCCCTGGATATCAGCATCTTCCTCCACACGCCTGTTAATCTTATTCACCTCTTCACTTTCTCCAGTCAGAGAGCCCTGCTCCAACCGCAAAGTGGAACTGATCAATTCCACAACGCGCATATCTGCGGGCACCTTATCGCCAACCTTAAGCTCCACGATGTCACCAGGGACGAGATCCTTCGCAGGCAAACTGGGGATTTTCGTGCCCTCTCGAATAACCATCGCGTGCTCCGACTGAATCTCTTTCAGCGCATCAAGCGCCTTTTCCGCATTGCTCTCCTGCCACACGCCAACAATCGCGTTGACGATTAGTATCAGGAATATCACCAAAGGCTCAACGAACGCCGTTATCTCCATCTCACCGCCTTCATCTCCGTCGTACCAAGCGAGCACAAAGGAAATTATTGCGGCGGCGAGGAGAATCCGAACAAGCGTGTCGTTGAACTGCTCGAGAATCAGACTCCATATCGATTGGCCGTCGTGCTTCTCCAACTCGTTCAATCCATAGATCTTTTGCCGATTCTCGACCTCCTCGTGATTCAACCCCACTTTCACATTCACCTTAAAGTGTTCCTCGCACTCACGCACGTCTTTCGCCCATGCCTTGAAGATTTCACGGTCCGAAGCTCCGGAACTCGTGTTCTCCGGTTTCCCATAATCTTGGCCTCCCCTCCCCATTCAGATCCGTTGAATTTTAACCTGGAGAAAACAATTTCCGTACAAAAAATTGTTTCTCCCGTCAATTCATAAACGAAATAAGCAAATCTCGACGGTATCTATGAACTCTTGATGCAGCGATGCAACAAAAACCCTAATTGCGAGATACGCGAGAGCAGCAACCACTTCGCGAAAAAACAGAATAAAAACTGACTTTGTTAAACGAAAGAGGAAATCAGATATGAGATCCTGAGGAACTGAAAAACTGACAAGTGCTTGGTATGTGAGTGTTTGTTAGTGTGAAGAAAACTCGGAGTTTGTTGGGGCTCTAGAATGGCGGAAGGGGCGTTGGTTTCTCGTGAGAACTGAAAGTGAGAAAGAGAAAAAGAAAAAGATTGAAAGGGAAAGGGTTTTCAACTATGCATTGTCTCACGCATCGTACAATGTGCTTGCCCAGTAAGCTAACTAATGGAATTTGTGGCCCAACTTCTCACTCTACTTTGTTTAGTGCGTGGCTTATGCCTGGTGGTTATTATTTTTTTACTAGGTTAATCAGACGAAATTTCGTGGTACGATCGTCCCACATTTAAAATATACACAAAACATTAACCGAAAATTCACATTGAAAATTTCCACAATGACTTGCCGTTTTTCCATTGCCCACTCTTTCTTCCCATTGCCACGTGTTCTGTCCAGTCAACACCATTTCTGGCTTTCGTCTGGAACCTTCTTCTATCAATACTTTTGACCGCTCATATGTATTTTCTCTCATAATAATCTCTTTTGCTATTAAGTTATTTTATATATTGTTATTTATTTAATTTCATTCATTTATTCTGTGATAATTAAAGATTTGATTTATCAGGTAATTATATTATAACTAATTTTGAATAACAATATATAAACAAATATTGAGGACGAATCTAAATCTAAATTATGAAGCAAAGATTAAAAGTATGTTGAACAGCCGTTTTCTTTTACTACTATTAAAAAATTAATTAAGCAAGCAATAATTGAGAATCCTAGGGCGTAGTTTTAATGCGTGCTTTCGTGGAATGTTCATTGTCACACAAATCTATGAATGTGCTACGAAGTCAAAATTACAGTGCCACGGGATTGGTAGAATTGAAAGACCCCAAGAAGGGTTCGGTAAAATGATTATGTTTATTTTTTTTTTCACACTGATGGAAAAAGGGCGAACAGTGTTATTATTTTAATGGAATACCAGTTAATGTCTAAAACTTATGTCATCTTTTATCAGAATGAAAAAGCATAACAGTGACAGAAACAGCAATAAATTATAACCAAAAAAAATGTTTGTTGGATAAAATAATTTGGGTTGATTTGGCTGAAAGACCACATGAAATTATTGTATACAAATTTAATTTTAGACCGTCACTTGTTTGTAAATAATAAATATTTTTAAAGATGGAAGAAAAAAATAATAAATATTTTTAAATTTATAATTAAATTTTGAATAGAATTAACTGTATCCATAATTTATAAGTTTTAAAAAAAATGTATATATATATATATAGAAAGAGAAATATAAATAACAGACTTTATAAACATATAAAAGATAAAATATTTGAAATTAAAAATATAAATAGTATTTTAAGACATTTTAAATAACAGACTTATTTATTTTTTGAAAGATATTATAAGATGGAAGAAAAAGTAATAAATATTTTTAAATTTATAATTAAGTTTTTAATAGAATTAACCATAAAAATAATTTAGAAATTTTAAAAATTAATATATTTATAAAAACATAAATAGTAGAATTTATAAAAATAAAAAAGATAAAATATGGAGAACTGATTCTTTAAAATACAAGTCAGTATATAAATAAATTATTACATTGATATTCATCTAATCAATATATTATAAACTAAATATATATTGTTACACTAATATAATTAATACATATTTGTATGTATTTTTATTATTGAATTTTTTTCATAATATTATAAAATATAATTTATAATATTAAGAAATATAATTTTTTTATTGCAAATATATAATTTAAATATTTAAGATGAACTCTTTAATATAATATTTTAATTTATTTTGTTATAATTATAATTACATAAAAACTTATATCATTTTTTATGTATAAATGAGTAGTGTTACTTTTGTATTAAATAATATCAATTTAATGTTTATACACTAAAAAAATAAGAAAAATATTCAAAAATAAAAATATTCAATAATAAAAATAATTATATTATAAATTAATATAAAAAGATAAATGTAAGTTTTTTTAAGACAAAATGATTACATTGCAATTATATATTACCACGTAAATAATATGTATTATTAATAAATATATTATTTTTTAAATCTATTATATATATATAATTCATTCATGTTATAAATATAAATAATAAATTAAAATATTTTCTACTTTACATAATTATTTATTTCAATGTAAATTTAATTGATTGATACCTGCCAATGAGTTAACTTCAATTGATGGTATAAATGAGTATGCGAATAATTATTTAAGAAAATAAGTAAATAAATATGGCTTTTATAGTAAGTGTTGTGTGAAGATCACTATGTTTCAAAGTAATTATTTGGATTAAATTTGATTTTAATTGAAAATTAAAATTAGTATCTATTCTAAATTTTAGATTAATTTAGTTTTATCATTTTTAAAATAAGTTAAATTTAGTTCTTTTAATTAATATTTTTTAATTTATTTAAAATTTTAAACGTATTCTTTAACTAATATGAAAAATAAAATACATCAAATAGTTGAACAACTCAAATATTATATTCAAACGTGTTTAAAATATTAAGTATGCTTAACTAAATTTAGTTAAAATAATTAAACCCACGTAAAAACAAAATTAAGAAAATACTAATTTCAATTTTTACTAAAATTTAAAATTTAAAGAAAAAAAATTTAATCCATATATATTTTTAACTTTTACTTTTATTAACCTATGCTTTAGGGTATTTGTTAGTATTTTTGAAAAAAAAAATATATATGAATCTTAATATTGTTTATAATTAAATAAGTATAAATCTATAATCAAGGCGCATAATAACTAAGTACTTCAGTATAAATATAAATTATATATATATATATATATATATATATATAAATATATATACATGTCTTTTGAAATTATTAATTATGATTTATAAATGTATAAATATGAACTTTTGGATAAATACTTGATTGTTGCAACCCTACAATCTGGGTCTCCATATGGGTTTTAGTTTTTAGTGATGTCAGTGAAAGAACAACGGGCCCACTCAAATATCAAAATTTTTGAAAATTAAAAGTCTAACGTCAAGGTCGAGGTAGCTGAGTTGACCCGGATTCCAAATTTCAGGCATATGCTTTCACGAAAGCAACCTAAACAAAATAAAATAAATAGCTCCACAAAAATTTCTCATTTCCAAATAAAATCAATACGAATAAAACTATGGCTATAAATTTTAAATCCATTTTTATTAAATCTAATTACAATTCCATAACTTAATTATCACTTATTGTTAATTTTAACACTAAAATGATTTCGATTTCAATGTACTTTTGTCATTTCATTAAATTTCAAATTTATCACCTCTTTTAAAACACAACCTCTTTTATTACTAACTAACATAAGAGTGAAAAATGTAAAAGACGTAAAAGGTGAAAGAAAATTTGAGACTAAATAATAAAATGTGTGGAAAAAGTGTTGGTTAATCAAATTTACAAAACTGTCCAAGCAGACCTTTTATAAACAAAAAAAATAGCAGAGAAATTTGATTAAATAGGGCTACTATAGCTTTTCAAAAATTAATTAATTATTAAAAAAAAAGTCATGTTAGTGATATAATTAGTGAAAAAACAAAAATAACAATAATTAGGTTTAAAGTATAGTTGGTGATTGGAAAATGAAAAGTGGAAGTTGGTCTTTGGAAATTTATTTCACTTGAAAACCATTGGTGAAAGGTTGTAAGCGGTGAGAAAGGACGAATAAGAAAAAACAAACACATATTTTATAATTGATAAAAATAAATAAAAAAAACCTCTCCAAAACACCAAAATACAAATCTTACCAAACAAACCTACCCACCATGAATATAATAATATAAGAGCACGAGAGAAAGGAATCCTGGCTAGTGTTGTCTTTTCCTCCACCCTTTTCTTTTTGACATTTAAATTCTTATCTTAAATATTTGTGGAAAGGTCTAAGTTTATTCTCTAAGACGATGGGGAGAATACTATCTTCTCATCTACTAATTCTTCACACTGTTATTCAAATTTTTAAGAGTATTTAAAACAATTTATTTATTTTTTTATTACTATTTTTATTGCCGTTATTATTATTATAAGTGAAAACACATACATGATGTATGTGTTATTCTTTCTATTATAATAAAATTACTATTATAATTATAAAATTAAGTATAAATAGTTTTTTTAAGTAATTTTAATTTATTTTATAAATAATTTTTTAATTAAAAAATGTTAATTTTAAAAGCGGTTAAATTTAAATAAATGGTCACTTAAAAAGTAATATTAATAAAATAATTATTTTAATTTAAAAATACATTAAAATGGTAAATTTTTGTTGAGTTGAGAAAAATAACACATTTTGGAAAGTCTCATATCACCTCTAATAAGTTATGAAATGGATGTTAGTGATTATATAATAAACTTAAAGTCAATGATATTTTTTTGTCCTAAGTCAGAGACATTTTAAGAACTAATGCGAAAAAATGAATAAGGACTAACTTGTAGTCATTGTCACTCTTACAAGAATTCTTTAACGTGTTTTTTAGTTTTCAAACTTTATTCTCACAATTGATGATATAATATAATGTAGAAGAAAGCATATTTGATAATCTAAAACACAAAGGACTAGTGAAATTTATAGAATTTTCCCAATTACTATAATAATTTGTTGCAAAATTAAGAGAATTATGGTATTAAAACTCATGCAACAATTCTAAAAATTAATTAACTAAATGGATCATTATGGAAATAATTGATTTAATGTAAATATCTCGTATTATCTTGCGTATTTGAGAAATTGACAACTTTCTTCCACTTGGTCTATTTATTTAATTATCAATCAATACAATAAACTAAATACATATAAATCATGGTGATAAATCTTCCAAAAAAAAATGAGTATTATCTTCCATGTATCACAATATATCAAGTTTTTCATAAAAGATTCTTAACTATAATGAATAAACCATACGTTTGGGTCAAATAAAATTTCTCAAAATAAACATACATGTATACAACAAAATAAGAAAAAAAATTGAATAACAAATTTATCAAAGTAAAATTAATGATTGTCACACCATAGGAGAAGATCTCATTTGCACTAAACGATCTTTAAAGTTCTTTAATGACATGCCTATAAACAAATGACTAACAATCGTCAACATACAATGTTAACGTGTTTAATGACTACTTAACATACCTAACACGTTCTCTTATGACTATATATTTAATGTCAACGTGTTTA